CCTTCTAACCAACTAACCAAGCAAGCTCATGTAGCAGTCATAGTCTCACAAGTTGTTACACTAACTGTTGACTAGAAAAGTTAACAAGACTAATTAGCTGAGTCCCTTATATGTAGTTTTGCACCATTGGCATTGCTAAAAATTATCTATATCATGCATACCATTAAAGGATGTTGGGTTGGACAAATGTTTGCCCTTGCCATGTCTAGTCACTCTACCAAATTCCAAGTGTTAGAAGTTCAAGTTTTTCTTCAATGTTGTCATGTGAAATTTTCACAACCATGGATGTTAGACTTGATCTTGTCTAGTCATTTCCGTACCATATTATAAGCAGATAGACGTTGCTGCAAATTAAGAATGCAATTAGTGAACATTGCTGCAAATTGACGAATGATGAGTTACCAATTTTGAGTTGCTATAAACAAGCTTTTTTAGGGAAAACATATCAACATTCAAATTAATCAAGAACGCATTACAAGTAACTCTTGCACTTCATTACAATAACAACAAAAAATATGAAGTCTCACATTTAGTACCCAATAGTTTATAAATAAAACATTTTGAACTACTTTTTTGTAGTTTCTCTTTGACCAAATCATCCACTTCTAAAGGCTTGTCATGTCATTTGTAAAATTAAAAATACATTAGTATAAATTGAGTATAAAATGTTGACGATTCATATAAGTTGTAAATTACCATTACCCGAATCAAAATTACAAATGAGTAATATAGTAATGCATGACAAGACCTAATATATACAAAAAGTAACAACAAAGAAATATATTAACTTAGACATGAAATAATCAAATAATAGTACATAACGAACTTTTCTTACCTTGAGTATTGAGTATAGAATTAGGTAAAATTGGAGGCCTTGAAGCATAAGATGGTAAGCGATGAAAGTAAGGAATGTGTTGCTGGAATCTCACAATTTCATTAACTTGAAAATTGTAAGGTATATATACTTGTGTTCCCGGCTCCTAAAACCAATAAACTAAATTAAATTCTAAAAAATATCATCAAAGTAGTATAAAAATTGAATACTATTAAGCTAGTATCAAATTTTACCTGTATACTTGTACTATCTTGTGTGCCGACCTCAATGTGCATACAAACATCTTGTTCAGTTGCTTTAGACTGAAAGCAAATAAATTTAGTACTTATCGAAGAACTCCTCAATGTTGATTCAGTTCTTTTTATTTTTGATTGAAACTCATCCATCATGTTCAATAAAACGGTACAATTCTCATCATAAGTGACAGCCAAGTTTGCAACATTATCTAGTTTATTTTGCAACTTTTGATAACGTTGAGCCTCATCATCGTCTTTCCAATCATCATAGGTAACTTTCACCTTCGTGTGAGACTATTTTAAGTCTTTCCTCCAACATGCTTAGGGATGGCAAAAATCCCCATTAAACCCGATACTGCGGGCCTCGCCCCGAACGGGGCTAGAATTACCCGTTTAATCGGGGATCGGGGCGGGGAACTTCAACCCTGGGCGGGGTCAGGTAATGAGGTCCCCAAGGTCCCCGCCTCGTTATTACCCGTCCCCGCCCCATTTAATTTAGTTGTAGTTTTTACTAATTTTTTTTTCAATTTGTTATAGGTAAATTGTAATGGATCGGCACATTACCTGAGAACAAACCAAATAACCAATTCTCTTATTCATTTCCCAAACCGAATTTCCTCTTCCTCATTTCATTTCATTTCATTCCATTTGATGTAAGGAGAGTAAGGCGGCGCAATGGTTTTCACTTTTCACTAGAGTCTGGAGAAGTTGAACCGTTGAAGCAACTTTAGGTCTCTTTCGGCTGCATATTGTAAAACTTTAAGGTTTGCACATATGGTCATTAGGAAGCTTTCCTGTTGAGCTGGGTTTTAATAGATCTATGAAGCTTTCCTGTTCTAGAGTAGTAAAATTCTCATCTTTCTTGAGTGCTACAGATCTTGGTATTTAATTGCTGTCGAGTTAATCTATTGGGTATAAGTATGTTTGAAAATACTTAGTTTNCTGATCAAATTTTTTTTTTTTTTTTGGTAAATCATAGTTTCTACAAAATATGCTCAAGTTGATCGTGAAATACGTGGTTCAGCATTAAAACAAACGGTCATGCTCTTCATCTCAAAATGCTCATCTCAAGAAAGTTAAAGGAGAGAATAAACAGCACAAAGAATAGACTAACCATGAATAGTAAACAAAATGAATCTCTCTCTCTCTCTCTCTGCATGTCACATGGAAGTTCCCAACTTTAGGATAATACGTGGAATTTAGCACCTAGCATCAATCATGATTTACCATTTTTAATATCTTATATATGCTCAAGTTTTTGTGCTTTTTTTTTTAAGAGTTCAAAACTGATTGTTATCAATTTTCCAGAATTTTGTGTATTTTTCTGGGCTTTATCAATCATCTATGAGGAACATCAATAATTCTTGGTTTTTATCAATTACCAGTATTCTGTTATTGGTCGTTGTGGTTGATTATATATCAACAGTTGATTATGTACCAACAGATAAGGTTTTATTGAACTGTGGAGGCCCATTGATTATGATAATCTTGCATGAGTATCCACTTTCTATGGTTGAACACATTGGATTTAGAAGATTTACGAATGCTTTGCAACCATTG